AAATAAAACAGCCTAGCCATAGTAACTCTACATCATGGTCTCCTGCCAGGGTGAATTTTCCACAGCATGTGTTTCCAACACTGTGTCCTGGTAGACTGGACTGCCAAACTCCCATGAGCCCTCAAATATCAGCAAAAGAGCAGAGAGCTGGTCCATTGTTTCAGGACAGGCCAGGACTGAATTCTCATTGTTCATCCTGAATCTGAGGATCAACTCATGGATGAAGTATCCTCTCCAGGACTATGGCTAGGCTTTTCCAGGGAGGCCCCATAGTTGGAACACACCTTCAGTTCCCCTTTCTTAAAAATGGTTTGACATTCCAGAGGTACTATACCCATCTTCCATGTAACAGTGAAGAGACATGGTAAGCATGACACCCCAGATTTGTCCAGCTGTTTCAACATCTTTGGGCAAATCTTTTCCATCCCTCCTGCCTAACCACTGCAAAGGCACTATACCACCACAACATTTATAGGTTCAGTCCACATCTGATTCCACATCCAGTCTACTTGGTTAAGGAAGTCCACATTTCATTAGTCTCAGGTCAATATTTTAATGCCATATCTGAAAACAAAGACACTTCATCCTAAGGTATTAAATAGTTTGCCAGAATGCCTCTATCGCCTTTCCATTAAAGGAAGCCACCATCTTGATCCAGGCTCATTACTGGGGGTCATGAGCCAAGATAGTCACCTGGTGATTGGACATTGCTGCAGAATGAGACACAGCTAGAGGTCTTGAAGGGAGAAGAGCTGTTAGGATAGGCTCTCTGTGGAGTTAGCCAGACATCTGAGCAGTCAGGAGACTTACTATATACTGTACTGTACTCCCTCACCAGTCATGGAGTAGGTCACTGTGAATACTCCTTTGGCTAATGTTGCCATGAGAAGATCCTGACAGTGCCTCATCGACCATGGTAGAACATCACTGTAATAGTACACTTAATGTTAAGATTCCATTCATGAGACTGTTCAAAATGCCATTTGGTGTCAGTAGCAGTCTACTGTGGAGAAACAGTTTTGTTTTTCATGCTTTGGTAGATTTTGCAGGCAGTGCTGAGAAAGCCACAGCCCAGAATGTTAAAAAGAGTTAACTGTCATCTTAGCCACAGCCGAAATGCCTTTTAATTCAAGGCGTGCTTATTACTTTAAAAAAACTGCAGTGGTAGCTTGCATCAAGCACCACTTCTCCACTAAAGTAGGGGGGGGGGGAGAATAAAAATGAATCTTTCTCTCCAGTCCAAATGAAATATTTCTGTAATTTAACAGATGGCATATTCACATTCTAGCACTCACATTACTTTCTGAAATGTAGAATACCTTAAGCGTATAGATTACCTACAGATCTTGTATTGCTGGTGAAAATGTTAGAGAATACTGCAGAACATCTACAGGGCTGGTAGAACAGTAGTAGGTACCAACACTGCAATGACAGAAGGAAGCTACTGCAAATACTTCGCTGGATGCTATTACCAGTCAAGTGCAGATCCAGCTGTTCTAAAACAATGCTATAAGACAGCAAATGATGCTGATACACAGGCATTCACTGTAGCTTGCTGGATGATGGAGTTACAGGCAGTGTATTTTTGCAGTATATGCTGTACTTCAAAGGTAAAACTGCAAAAACACCATAGTAAGCTACACAAGTTTTCTTGCCACATGAGGATTCATTCTCTTGGTTGTTGTATATTTTTGGCTCTACAGCCAGCCCTCACACTCGCATAAACAACTCAGAAACATTCCCCTCCAGCGGACATTCGCTTACCACAGGCTGAATTGAAAACATCTCTTCATGTTCTAGTATTTGATTCTTTTCTGTGATCTTGAGGGTGTCAGACCTCATTTTTAAATTCGACACTAAAGTAATCTCAGTGATTCCTACACTAATATGAAGTGCTTGACAAGACAGATCTCAGTCATAAATTGCAATCAGTCTCTATTTCTTTTACAGTGCGTGGACCACTGTGGCTATGAAAGGATGCAGATTTGTTCCAGTGAATGTCTCCCCCTCCTGGTTGGCTAAGAACAGTACCTCAGGTTAAACGGCTTCTTTTTATCTTGTTATTTCTCCACCCTTCAATAATTTCCTAATAATTCTTCCCTACAATACTTCAGTTCACATCTGATCAAAAAGTTGGTGCATCTCTTTTACAGCTCTGAAGCCTGACAAACATGAAACTGGATAAATGTACAGGTTTCTGTTTTCATAACTAATTCTATTTAAAATATTTGTCTGATATTTGAGTAGTGAAAACTAAAGCTGATAATTCACTTTAATCACAATTTGCACTGCCAGCAATGTGCGCAACAACTAATTCTTGAATCTGTGATGAATATTTTGACATGAGACTTATTTCGATATTTACAGTATATTGTACAATTACAAGACACAAATAAACTTTCAGAAGTATTAAACAAGGCCCCTGTGTGAAGTTTGTCATCAGGAAATTTGAAATAGATCTCACAGCTTGGAGTCTGCTGATTTGAATCTGGACTGTACAGGAAAGTCTCCAGGAACGGGACAATAAATGACTTGATAGCATCTGTTGTTAACCAAAGGGATTTGTTTATAAAATGAATGTGTAGCGGCAATGCTTATTAATAAGACAGAATTAAGTGTTGCTGTGCTTTCCCAAATGAGGCCTCATCTCTCTGTTCATCTCTGTGGTGCAGCCACAGAGAAACTATTCATCCAGGCTGATTTAAAGATGTTTTCTTTTGATAAGGGACAGCTCCCAAATGGGGATGCACTTAGCTAAGCCTGGCTATCATGATCAATGGTCATCCATTGGCGCCTATCTGTCTAGGGAGTGCCAGATGGACATCTGGACTGCATTCCTAAGTGTCAGGAGTAAGTGACTCATATCTCACCTTGATCAACCAATCAGGGACTGGTAGGGCCGAGTAACCCACGTGGGACTCTGATGGGCATGAAACTTTCAGCCAATGAACGAGCTGAAGTTCCTCCAGGTAAAAACAGGCAACACAGAGGGCCTGAGAGACTATTGTGGACTTTTCTAAAGGGAATTCAAAGGAGAATTCCAGGGCAGGACGGCCCAGGAGCAGAAGGCTCCCAAGGGCAGGACATTCTCGCAGCGCGCCTCCTGACCATCCTGAGACTCAGCCCGGACAACCACGGAACGGCCAGTGTGTCCAAGTGCCAGAACTTTCCTTTGTTCTAAGAGTCTAGACCGGAGGTTGCCAGAGAGTAACCAGAGGATCCACCCAAGGTTAGCATCAGCAGCAGGCCTCGTGAACAGGTCAGAACTGTGGACAGCTGAATCACTATTCAGAACTAGCTCTTCATCAGGAACGAACCGGTCCTCTTCCTGACTTGCTGGGACCCACAGTCATCTTTTCTCCTGTGCGCAAACTTTGCTAGTTAAAGTCAACACTAACTAGATGGTCAGTGAGCATCAGCAGCGCACCGTCGCAAGCCGCACAGCACAGCCTGGCACTGAGCCAGAGAGCGTGGATTGGACAGCAACAGCCTGCAACTGTTTCTTTGTGCCCGCAGGAGATCTGAATCACCAGAGATTGGATGAGTATCCAACTTCAATGCATTACAGCTCGAGAATTCAATTGTTATCCCAACCAGTTGATATCAATTTAATTCCTAAGAGTTATGTACTTGTTTTGAGTATCCAATGTAGAAGGTGTAACCAAGTTAATTTACGAAACGGTCTAAATGAATGATATACTGAACGTATGTCCTCTTGATATGTGTAACACTTTGTAACTGATTGAATATACAGTATATCTTTTGTATTCTGATAACCCTCTCGATAAGATCTGTTAGGTTTACATGCATATTCTATGTATTATTAAATGTATCCTCGTGTATTAGTACCTGTGTGTGTGCGTTGTTTGAGTTATATTGCATGGTTGGATTCTAAAGCCTTCAAAAGAATCAATTTTGTGATTTACTGCTACAATTAATAATTGTCCCAATAAATGCCCAAACCCTACAGAACTGGTGCCTTCAGAGAGCACACTACAAATGTCACATACAAAATCCAGATGAAAGCGGTAATTTTTCAGTTCAATCTTCATCAGACAATATTGCATGGCCAAGTAATCAAAATAATGAAACACGTTAACAAAGGCAACCTTTCCAGTCATCCATCCATATTTCCAGGTCCAGTCATCCATCCATATTCTAACTTCTTTTTCCCATTTAGGGTCACGGGGGAGCTGGAGCCTGTACTGGTAAGCAACAGGCACAAGGCAGGATACACCTGGACAGGACGCCAGGTCATTGCAGGGCAGAGACACAGACACAACCACACACACACTCACACGAGGTCCAATATTCCAATTTACCTACCAGCATGTCTCTGGACTCTGAGAGGAAACTGGAGTTCTCAGAGGAAACCCACGCAAACAACAGGAAAACATACAAACTTTGTGAACATAACACCCAGGAACTGAACCCAGGACTCCAGTGCTGCAAACCACCAATGCTAACCCCTGTAAAATTGTTCTCCCCTTGGATATAATCTTTGGATATAAGTCTATAGTCCAAAAAACTACTAAAAGCTTTGACTTTCATGACCTCCTTTTGTCTATTATCTTTCATTATACCAGCTACAAGACCATTAAAATTACAGATGAGAGAGGGCCATTGTGCCCATAACATTTGTGTTGTGTCTGTTCTTCTTGTTCTGCCATACAATAGGAATCCTGTTTTTTCCATGTTGTCGTCTGGGCACTTGTGGATTTTGTGTTTTACCAATGAATTTCCTCCAACCAAGACATCAGCTCCACACACACAGCCTCAAAATCAGTGTCTACTGCACCTTAGATCAGCATAGATTTTTACTTTTAACTGTGCTTCAGACTCTCTACACACTGTGTCTGTGTTTTTAAAGGAGAGTCATAACTCATACACAGAGCAGACCAGTGGAATAATAATAAGACCAAACTAACTTGAGTTGAGGATTCCAGACAGAGAGCTGAGAGCACACCCAGTTTTGAGCTCTAAATGAAGCTGGTACTCACGGCAGGTGAATCCATGCTCTAGGAGCAATGCGGTTCTCTTGGATGTAATTGTTGCTCAGCACGAGAACCTTCAGGTTGAGAGTTTTGTTCAGAACTCCCTCCTGGATCTCCTCAATGTGGTTTTCATCCATGTGCAGCTCCTGCAGCAGCAGATGAAGGTTTCAAATCTGACCTCACATGGTAAACAATTCAGAATCCACAGCTCATTTCTTTATCATAACGGACTACTCATTCGTCTTTTTTTTTTGGGACGGTCACATTATTTGATGGCTTCTTGTGCCATCTGCTAAAAGAAACAAATAATTTTACCATCTCAGAAATATAGTTACAGTAGATTGAAACCTGTGCTTGATATATGGTCTCTTCATGGATTTCTGCAGCTTGAGTTTGGCAATTACTACTTTGCAGGTCCTCTGCTAAAATAAGAAGGCTCCAGCTTGTTCAAACTGCGGCTATTATTTCACACTAGGCGTTATATAACAACTGGTTTTAAAATCATTACAATCATCAATTAACTTTAAAAGGGCTTTTCTAACATACTAAGCTCTTAATAATCAAAGTCTTTCATTTCTTCATGATCAACCTATTCCATACGTCCCAGTCTCTCTTCAAGTTCTAACTCTCTGATTGTACACAAAACCAGCTGAAAACAGTTACTCTGGTGTTACAATCACTGTCTAAATGAATGCAATCCCATACACTTTCAGCAAGATGAAACATTCTAAGCTTAAATTTGTTTTATACAAATGTGTTTTTAATCAAGGCTGAACTTTCTTCTGTGTGCATGTTTTCTTGGTTTTAACTGCACAGTATTCTGTGATGCTCTGATGGGAAGAGCTCTATATTAAAATAAATGTAATCTAACGATTAGATTTAAATTAATTGAGGACAAAACCACAATAAAACAGAACTATAATCCCTAATATGGACATACATATACTGTATATCTTAATCGTTAGAGTTCAATTTTATCCCTGGATTAAACTGTACAGTCTCTTCATAGTCTACTTGAAACATTACTACTTTCACCACCTTCATAAGGGGTTGTGCTTTTATTATTTCCTCAATAAAGGTGGCAGACAAACCTGTAGGGAGGCAGGAAGACCAGGAGGGATAGTCCTGAACCTGTTCTCATCTAATCTCAGGTAGATGAGCTTCTTCAGTGGTCGGAAGGCCAGAGGAGACACGTTACCATCATGTAAGTCATTCCCCTCAAGCTCCAATGTCAACAGCCTTGAGGCACCTGCAAAACACACCCACTTCATTAACAAAGGGTATGACAGAGCAATCAGCTATTATTTCTCCCACATACTGTACTCAAGGGGGTCTCTGTCCAGAGCAGTGGTTCCCAGCACTGGTCCTAGATGAACACTGGGTCCAGTTTGGGGAATTCAAGTTCGGGGAATCAAACCGAACTTGACTATTGATTTGATTTCAGTTTTCTGTTTGGGACATATTTGTAAATTTGCCTGGACTTGTCTTTGGTTTCAACCCATTACCAATTTCAGAGTTTCAGAACTACTGGGGTGCACTGTCTGAAAGTTAAGCAACTGGCCCTCTCCAGAAGGAGAAGAACGCTTATTGCTTTGTGTTTGGTGGGGAGATTTACACAATATTTTCTCAACTATCAGTGACACTGCTATTGATAAAGTAACTCAAATGACTAAATGTGTTGTATTTCTTGTCCATAGGCTCCTGCTGCCCCGCTACCCTGTATTGGATAATACGGTTAGGATCGTCGTCCCTCCTCTTAAGGGCGCTCTGACCTTTCCCCCTTGGCATTTGTTTGCTTGTGCCATGCCCCCCGAGCACCGGATCACCGCTGTCACGTCCCCCTGTCTGTCAACCTGTCCTGATCCTCTTTGTCTTTTCCCTGTAGTCCTTCTCCACTTACTTCCGGATTATACCATCTGCATAGGGTCCTGAACTACGCTTCACGTAGGAAAGGGATGAATTTTCCTTGTCAAAATGTGTATCTCCCTGTTTTTCTTTTTTTCATTCATATTACTAAAAAAGTTTACATCGTGTATCTCTAAAAGAAGTGTATGGGATCAGTTTTGTTCTGTAACTGCTTCTGTGCTTGCAATGGGGAAGGGGTTAAAATACAATACATTTAAATACAAATAAAGAATAATTAGATAAATACAATAACATTTTGTTCACACAATTGCCTACATACGCTATGCATTATTACTATTCTACTTTATTATACAGAGGCTTCTTCTGTTTCACAAAAGATACCTTTGAAGCTCTGTGGAGTCAAATCATTTATCTTGTTGTCATTCATCTTCAGCTCTTCCAACGATGCCGGCAGCTGAGGGATTTTTGTTATTCGATTCCCATCCAGGTTCAACCTCTTCAGCTTAGTTAGATTCTATAGCCAACAAATTATAAATATTCTTACTGGTACGGAGTGTGAGTTACTTATTGTCACTTACCGTACCACATTAATATGAAAGACAATGGTTAGTTACACAATAAGTACCTACTGTATGTAATGTTATCTAACCAGATTAGTCATTGAAAGCAAATTTTCAACTGACAATAATGGCTTAGAATAAAAACATTAATACAGCAAGGCCTTTGTCCAGGACAGGAGCAAAGTAACATGCTCAACAGTACCCCATCTGGAATTTGAATCCACAGCCTTCTTAGTTAGAAATATAAAACCACAACCACAAGTCCATTCGTTGCACATACTGTACATTAACACACATAATACATTGCAAAGTCCATCTTTGCACATACTGCACAGTCTTCACTGTGGAACCATAATTACAATATTTGGATTTGATCATATCAGTAAAGAAAAATACAGCAAGTAATGTGCAGGTTAGCTCAGTTGAAAAGAAATTATGCAAGACAAAGTAAAAAAGTTTATAAATAGAAGGATCAATGATTTTTTTTTTAATTTCCTGGAGATTTGTCATGGTGAGAACAAGCAAGTGACACGGGTACAGTTTAGCTCTCATTTGCTTGACAGCAGTTCATTCACAAAAAGACCCTTTTAAAAATTAAGAGCATACATCACCAAGGTAAAATTAAGGTTATGCCATTAAAAAGCTGCACTTCAGCATGTGGAACAATGGAAAACCAACACTAAGTAAGTGATGAAACAAGAGAGCTAAGACAGCAGTAGGTTTTTTTGTAAATCTACGAGATTGCAGTTTACAAAATGCATGAATTGTAATTACAATTAACAAAGTTTCAACAAATGGTTTGGCTACAACCTATAACATTTTCTGTGGGGGGTTCTCAGTGGCCTAGTGCAGCATGTACAGTATAAGAGAAATGGTGTCATATCTGAGTACAGGCTTACCCGAAACAGGTCAGGATGCAGAGAGGAGTCATTCAGCTTGTTCTTGCTGAGATCCAGCCACTCCAAGTTTGGCAGTCCTGCAAACGCCCGCGCCGGAATCTTGGATATTGCATTCTCTGACAACAAACAAGAATGTACAGGTTTAGATCAGCGCACACACTGATTCTTAACTCCTGTGGTATTATTTGATGTTTTCTTGCTTATTTTATTTAAAGCAATGAGACACAGTATGTATAGTAATCTGCAGATGTAGGTTAAACAAAAATTTGTTTTTGATTGTCCCATGCTCATTATTGAATACTTTTTGAAATATGACATTATTGAATAATACACACAGTATTAAAGATTAATCATGGGCTATAAGCAGTCTGATGTTTCCATCTTGTGTATTAACTTACTGTACATAAGATCCTGAGTACTAGGCACCTCTGTGGTGTAACATAAATGAAGTCCCAGAATTAAGGCACGTCCCCTCACCTGCCAGGTAGAGAATCTTGATGCCAGGGTCTTTCAGAATGGGCACATGGGTCATCCTTGAGTTGCTGCAGGCAATGGTAGTATCTGACAGCAGGCAGCCTATGGGCAGTGACTCCATGATGCTGGTCCTGGTACTGGGGTGCCAAGGGTCACCGGGGAGTGGGCGCCCAAGGAACCAGTCGTCCAGCTTATCGTAGACCTCATCGAAGTTATCATCAATGTCATCTAAGTCAACTAGCCGGCGCCGGCTTCCGAGACGGACCTCCTGGGTAACAGTCGACCTGTCAAGAGCCCTTTTGGCATCTGTCATCCCCCTGCTACTTCCTTTTCTCTTCTCTGGGGCGGGTCTCACCCCCTTCCCCTCTTGAATCTTCCCTGTTTCCGGTTTCTTTCCCATCTCCTGTTTCCCCACCTGT